TCGCAAAAGCCTCCCCTGGTATTTAAGCCCCCGCCGTCGTCTGCGGTGCCCCGGACGTGTGGCGGATTCTTGAAGGGTCGGAGGAATGACTATTCAGAATGGTTGCTCGATGTTATTAAATCACCGCCGTCGTCGCCAACGCCATCTTCATCATAGACATCATCATCATCATTATTATTATTATCAGCATTATCATCATCATCATCATCATCATCGTTATCATCATCATCATCATCATCATCATCATCATCATCGCTATCACCACCTCATCGTTATCATCAATGTATCATCATCATCGTTATCATCATCATCATCATCGCTATCACCACATCATCGTTATCATCAATGTATCATCATCATCGTTATCATCATCATCATCATCGCTATCACCACCTCATCGTTATCATCAATGTATCATCATCACTTCCAAGCCAGTCCGGTGTCCGTGGTGACCGCGACGACGAAGCGAAGGGCGACGGAGGGCGAGGAGGAGGTGGCTGACCAGGGAAACTCATTACAAGTTGAAGTGTATAGGCCACGCTGTGTTTTGAGTGACCTTCGCTCGATTGCGGAGGGGTGGGGGGGGGTGTAAGGGTAATAGGAAGAGGGGTGGAGGAAGAGGGCAGGGAAGGGGAGGAGGGGAAGAGGATAGGGGAAAGAGGCCTCAGTAAACACCTTGTATACGAGGAGCGAATGTAAAGGACGCCGTTGTGGGTGGGTGGGTGGGAGTCCCTAGGGGTTGGGAGGGGGTGTGGTTGTTGGCGGTGGCGGGGGTGGGGTGGGGGGTACGGAGGGAGGCAAGGAAGTGGGAAGTGGAGAAGAGGCAGCAGAGCTTTTTTAGCTCCTGTGGGAACAGATGAAGAGTATGAGCGGAGGAGAATAAGGAATATAGAGAAGGGGAATGGAGGAAGAACGAAGAAGAGGGTAAAAGCGAACGGTGTAGGAAGAAAGATAAGAAAGGAGAGAATGAGGTGGAAGAGAGAGAGAAAAAAAAGTAGCTTTTAGGAATCTGTCCTGAGGAGGAGTAAGTGTAGGTGACTGACCGAAGGATGAGGAGCGGAGAGCATGCGGGGATTGCAAGCGGGGCTGCAGGCGGTCCGGGAGACTTACTGCGGCGGCGGATGGTGATGGGCTGCCACTCAAGGTCACGTGGTCATAGTAGTGGTAGTACTTCCCTCCCTCCCCCCCCCCCCCCAGCCCCAGCCCCCCTAACCCCTCCCAAGGCTCCCTGCACCACCCGTCCAACCCCCCCCCCCCCCCTCGACGCCACAGCTCCACCCTGGACTCCTTAACCCCGCCCATTCCCCCCTCCCCCCCTCCCTCGCCGCGGGCGCTGCAGCCTCCGAACGTTGCCACAGACAGTGTATGGGGCAGATCGAGGGAATGAAGGGAGGGGCGGCGTAAGAGTGGGTGAGGGAATAGAGAGAAGTTACTGAGTGAGTGGGGGAGTAATAACGTGAAAGAAAGGAAGGAGTGAAGAGAGAGGGAGAGGGAGAGAGAGAGAATGAAAGATAGAGAGAGAATGAAAGATAGAGAGAGAATGAAGGATAGAGAGAGAATGAAAGAAAGAGATATAATGAAAGGGGGAGAGAGAGAGAGAGAGAGAGAGAGAGAGAGAGAGAGAGAGAGAGAGAGAGAGAGAGAGAGAGAGAGAGAGAGAGAGAGAGAGAGAGAAAGAAAGACACTGGTAGCATTGATTCAGTCATCCCCCTCCCCCTCCCTCTCCCCCCATCTCCATCTAGGATGTTCAGCTCGTGATGAACACCTTGTTATTCCACGTGAGGAAGTTAAAGATGGTCACTCCAGCCGGCCAACTATCTATGGAAGTTGTTCGCAGTTGAACTCAAAACGGTCTCTGGGTCACACTTACGCTTTGGCAAATTCCTATATCATTAAAATTGCACGGGTTCCATTTCCAAGGCATCTCGAGCATTGAGAAGCGAGGGGGAGCTCTGTGCATAAGCTGAGTCACATGGCGCGCCGCACTTACTCAGGATAAACATACAGACACGCGCGTGTGCTTACACAAAGACGAATATAGAGAGAGAGACAGACAGATGGACGGACGGACGGGCAGGCGGGAGGAAGGGGAAGAAACAATGCGAAAGAGGGAAGGATACTGTGAAAAATAGAATGACATAAATAGAGAAAGAAAAAAGGAAGAACTATAGCGACAGAAAATTAAAACTGTGAGAAACAGAAGGGTAGAGATAAGAAATCAAAATAAAAATAAACAAAGAAATAAAGTTAGACACACAAAAAAATAAATAAATACGTAGAGGTTATAGGCATAATGTCAAAGAAAAGGACAGAAACTAAAGAAACAGACCGAGAAACGGAGAGCGAGCGAGGGGCACAGACGGCGGCGGGCATGGCATGAGTGTCCCCGAGGTACCGTGACGCGGGCGGGCAGGCAGAGGGGGGGGGGGGGGCGAGTGGCAGCGGCGTTGCACCAGGGCTCACGAGGTCGTTCTTTCCCTCACCTGCGCCTCGGACGGCCGACCTTGGCCGTGACCACCTGGAATTTCCGACCGACCGCTGGGAGGGTCAAATTCCTGCGCGAGAGGGAAGGGCGGCCGCGGGAGGTCGCTGCTTTTAAATCGGGGCAGTGGGGGGGGGGGGGTGAGCTTGGTGGGTGCGTTGTTGCTGGTGTTGTTGTTACTACTACTATTTTGTATTATTATTATTATTATTATTGTTATTATTATTATTGTTATAATTATTATTATTATTATTATTATTATTATTATTATTATTATTACTATTACAATTCTTATTGCTTTTACCATTACTAAAAGTGTTACTTTTATTATTACTATTATTACTATTATTATTATTACTATCACTGTTACTACTATTATTATTATTACTATCACTATTACTACTATTATTATTATTATCATTATTATTATTATTATTATTATTATTATTATTATTATTATTATTAATTTTATCTTCGTTGTTTTTGTTGTATTGGTTATTGTGGCTGCTTACGGCTCCTATTATTATTATTATTAGTTTTATTGTTATTTTTATCATTGATATTCCTGTTGCAACTGTTTCTGTAACTTCTACTTCTGTCGATATTGATGCTGCCGTCGCTATTGCTGATGCTCCTGCTGGTATTGTTAGTAGTAATAGCAATATTGTCACTGCTATTTTTTTTTGGGGGGGGGAGGGGGTAGAAGGGAGAATCACAAGCGTAGGCGAATCTTCAGCGCGACGAAAGTGAAAGTGTTGGGATTATTTTGGTGTCGAGGGCGCTAGGATGCAAGAGGAGGGAAGAGGAGGGAAGAGAAGGAAGGGGTGTAGCGTAGGTCCTTGATGACGTCCTCCTCCTCATCTTCATCCTCCTCTTTCTCCTGCTTTTACTACTTCTCCTCTTCCTCCTCTTCATCTTCCTCCTCCTTCTCCTTCCCCTCCTCCTTTTCTTCATCTTCCTCCTCCTCCTCCTACTTCTTCTCCTCTTCATTTTCCTCCTCCTTCTCTTACTTTTCCTCCTCCTCTTCATCTTCCTCTTCCTGCTCCTCCCCCACCTACTTCTCCTCCTTTTCCAAGCCCTCCTCCTCTTCCTCTTCACCCCACTCCTCATGCTGGTCCTCATCCTCATCCTTTTTCGCCTCCTCCATCTTCCTCCTCATCCTCCTCTTCCTCCCCTCCATTCTCCTCCACTTCTTCCTCCTCTTTTTCCTCTTCTGTTTCTTCTTCCTCCTCTTTTTCCTCTTCTGTTTCTTCTTCCTCCTCTTTTTCCTCTTCTGTTTCTTCTTCCTCCTCTTTTTCCTCTTCTGCTTCCTCCTCCTCCTCCTCCTCCTCCTCCTCCTCCTCCTCCTCCTTTCCTTCCTCTTATTCCTTTTCCTCTTCCTCCTCCTCCTGTTGCCGGAGTTGTTTTGGGATTAAGGCCATTCTCTTCTCCAGTGCGGTCTCCCCTCACTCGCCTCCGACCATTCCGCGGCTCAAGTTTCTTTTACCGAATTGGATATTTCTCATTTTCGGGGTTGGCCTCTAGGACAAGATTTGAAGTTGGGATTAGTCGCTGTGGCGGTGGAAGGGGGCGTATTTATGTTTTGTTTCTCTCCCTCTATCTCTCTGCTGTTTTAGGACAGATAGGTTCAGTAATGCGTGTTATGTATTACACATATGCGTACGTGTTACGCACCTACTTCCATTTGTTCACACGCTGATACAGATCTACACTCATTCACACACACACACACACACACGCACGCATGCACGCGCAGACACACACACACACACACACACACACACACACACACACACACACACACACACACACACACACACACACACACACACACACACACACACACCAACACACCAACACACCAACACACACACACCAACACACACACACCAACACACACACGCACACACACACACACACACACACACACACACACACACACACACACACACACACACACACACACACACACACACACACACACACACACACACACACACACACACACACACACACACACACACACACACACACACACACACACACACACACACAGAGAAGCACGCAGACGCAGACACGGCCGCTTGGCATTGACGGCGGGACTGCATGGCTGCTGCATGACCGAGGGAAGGAGGGGGAAAGGGGGGGGGGGAGCGGAGGGGAAGGAGTGAGTGTCCTCGTTCAATATTGTGTGCTTGTAGAGACAGTCGGTCGGAGTTCAGAACCGTGGCATTTCCCTTCCTGCAGCATGACTTGTAAAGCAGAACCTGCGGTGTTTGTGCTCGTGCTTGGCTGGAGTCGGGCGTCGCGGGGCTGCGGCTCGAGGAAGACTGGAGGGCGTTGCTCGTCTGCGGGCTGCAGGAGTAGAGGGCGTGTTTTTCGGTTGCGATATCAGAGTGAGGGGGGAGGCGTCGCAACGCTTGACCTGTATTTTCCATTGTAAATAGATGTAAGCGAGATTTAGTTAGTTAGATTTCTTCTTTCATATGTGAGATAACCGATTTTCTTTCTTTCGCAGGCCATGGTGGGCGTATAGCATGATGCTCGGAGAGAACGTGGCGGTGGGCGTGGGCGGAGGGACTCTGCCCCGCCCACGCTCCGCTGATAATCTTGCCCGCCTGGCGCCCGCGTCGTCCCTACCAGCTCTCGACGACCTCGCCGAATCCGAGGTCTTCGTAGGTGTGTAGATCCTTTTCTGTTATGATTTGGTCGTGTTGATTTGTATTCACAGTAAAGCCACTGATTTATAAACATATATCTGTCCTCCAGTGCTAACTCTGCTCTTACTTCGCAGGTGACGAGGAAGAAGACCTCGCTCTGAACGGGGAGGTGCAGCAAGGGGAGGAGATCCATGTGCGGCCGACCTCGCTGCAGCACGCAGACGCCCCGCCGCCCACCCTCTCCGGCGGCAGCGGCTACGACCCGCTCTCCCCGAACCTGTTCCCCTCTCCCACGGAGCCCGTCCCCGCCGCCACCAACCTCGTCATCACCTACCACGATGACGCCCTGCGGCTTCCGCTCGACGCAGTCAAGGAGGAGGTCGAAGCAGAGGCGCTCGAGGAAGCTAGCATGATCCTCTCGAGCGGCCCAGCGTCCCTCGGCCACGCGTCCCTCACCTCCTCCGTCATCTCCTCCAACTCCCTCGACGACAACACCTTGTCCTCGAGAACGGACACTTTCGACACAGTGATTTCTGTGCCCACCAGTGTGTCGAGTCCTCCGGTAGAATCTCCCGCCACGACCAGTCCGACGCCCGCCAAAAACACGCCTCCCGCACGCCCGACCAACAGGGACGCTGCGAGAGTGTCGGGGACGCCGACCAGAACCTCGCCCACATCTCCGCGAGGTTCCTCGGGACGGAGCTCCCCTCGCTCCTCCACAGAGTCACCTCGGACGCCTGAGAGACGAAGGCGCACAGTGGCGTCTCCACGCAGCGACAGCAGCCGCGGCAGCACCCCGAGGGCGCCCGCAATGCGTTCCACACCCCGCGCTCCGGCCGACAGAAATAAAGAGGAGAAGAGGACTCCCCTGCGAAGCTCCGCCCGCACCAGCACCACCCCGGCGTCCGAGCGCAAGGCGACCAGCGCCCGAGGGCCCGATAAGACCCCCGGACATTCACGCACCAGAACAGCCGAGAAGGACCTCGCTGACGACGCCAAAACCAGCACCCTAGGACGTAGGAAGAAAACCGATACCAAAGATACCAAGCCTGATCAGGATACCAAATTTGGTACGCTCGGCCGTAAGAAGAAGGAGCCTAAGGGCGAGAAGGAGGAAGTAGCAGAGAAATACGGGACGTTAGGACGTCGTAGGAAAGCCAAGGAAGCTTGCGACACCAAAGATGAGAGTAGGGATCGAGGGGGACTGTCTAAGGACAGCAAAAATACACTGGACATGTACGCCACACTTCCCCGTCGGAAAGCCCGTGAGATGAGTGCTTGCTGGCGGGAGCACATGGCAGCTGAGGAGGATGCTTCCAAGTCCTCCCTGAGACGCACCAAATCTATAGGAAAATCCGAGTCCAGTAGCGGCAGCAGCACGGGGCGGGTGCGAGGCTCTGTGATGAGTGCCAGCCTGCCGCCCTCGGCGTTGTCGGGTCTGGGAGGTGGCAGGTCGCGCAGCCCGCGTTCTCTCCACCGAGAAGCCAAATCTACCTCAACCTCGACGGCGAGCACACGCAAGGAGAGGACCATCATCTGCATGGAGACAGCCGTCCAGACCTGCCTCACCGGAGGCGACGTGAGCTCAGCTCTTCGAGCACTCTCCAGGCAGAATTCTGCGGCAACGGAGGAAGGGGAGGCAGGGGAGCAAGCGGAGCCAAGACCTCACGTCACTATCATCAGGGAAACGCCACCTCCCGAGCTGCAGCCTGACCGGCGCCACGTCGAGGTGCAGGTAAGGCAAATTTACTTTCCAGCTTAGGCTTATGTAGTAAAGGCCCAATAGCATTAGCTTGTAGTTTAATATCGGACCAGCTAGCAGTGTTATATAACGCTTGTTTTATCTTTGAACTGTCAAAAGAGGAGGTGGGGTCGCGTTTGATCCCAGGTGTGAGTCACAGGAAAGTTGTATGAGTCATATTGACCAGGCACTCTTCTCCCCTGTGCGTGTGTTTGTATGTGCAGGTGGAGCTCTCCTGGCGGCTGGGCGATGGCGAGCTGCCGGAGCACGTGCGGCGCCTCACTGAGGAGCATACCCGCCTGCAGACGGAGCACGCGCGGGCTCGGGCTCGGCTGGACGAGATGGAAAGCATCCGGGAGGAGCTGGAGAGGACCAGGAAGAACCTGATGGAGGAGCGGTCCGAGAAGGAAGAGGTTCAGAGTGAGCTTGATAGGACCTCCCAACGAGTAAAGGATATGCTCACGTCAATGGAGGGCGTGGAACAAGGTAATTTACTCTTACATCCTCCTTATAAAGAATGTTTATTTAAGATAAACATGTTGAACTTATGAAATTGTACACCGTATTGCCTGTTTCCAAGTGAATAATGTGATTCCTCTTTCCGAGTGTTGTCAAATCAGAAAAAAAAATAGGAAGAGTTCCCTCTACCATTATTCTTATAATTAAATCGTCTTTAGCGATAGATGCTGATATGCACTACTATAACCAGGTATTCAGATTTAGACCAACATATATTAGCATATTACTGATGGGTTATTGCATAATGACAGTTATCAGTAGATAAAATTCATCACCTATGTCCGTATACCAAAATAAGTCGAGAGACCAAGAAAAATCTTTAAAATACTGAAGTAAGAAGTAGCTGCTAAACTTACCTGCTTTTATTTTGGGCATCGTGGCAGTGCGACAAAGTATGTAGATACACAATACTGACATAATCAGTCACAGGCACAGAATGTTAATATCTGATAGGTGCATTTTGGTATCACAGTCGGTCTCATCAGCCATTATTAATTGATTATCGATTGGGCGATTCGTCAGTTGATGTGTTCCATTTGATTCTAAAGCGAACTGCAAATTGTACAATTAATTACTCATTATTTTTACTAATATTATAATTGTTTATTGATGATGATAATAATAGTAACGAATATAATAATAGTAAAGATGATGATAACAATAACGATGATGATAATGTTGATGATGATAATAATAATAATAATAATGATGATGATGATGATGATGATGATGATTTTAATGATGATAATAATATTAATAATGATGATAATGATAATAACAACAATAATACTGATAAGGTAATTTTAATAGTACTAGTAATGATGATAACAATAGCATTTTAATATTCCGTAAGGATATTTTTGCTACTGGCGTAATTGTCTTTCCTGTCGTGACAGAATTCAACAGCAGAGGTGACAGCTTGATTGAGTTGGAGAACCAACTCCATCATTCAGCCGACATCCACATCCAGATGCAGGACAAACTCAATCAGTATGAAGAGTACACGCTTAAAATTAAAAGGGTAAGAGGAGTGCAGATTTGTGCAAGTGAATTGTTGTTAATGTTGATATGCCTGAGTATTGTTATGTTAGATGGACAAGTTTTTTTCTCATAACAGAACGTTTCAGTTTCTGATAATGCTTCCCAAAATATTCTGTAAGAAAACACACACTAATGCCGACACGCACGCATACACAAGCAAGCAAGCAAAAACACACACACACAAAAAAAACTAACTCAAGACCTGCCACTCTTTCCTCCCAGGACCTGGACAAGAGCGTCGCTGCGCAGAAGACGCTCCTGCAACAGGTTCAAGACTTGGAAAACGAGGGCCGCGAGATCGCCGACTTCATGGCCGAGGAAAAGAACGCTCTGGCCGAGTGTCTGCGTGAAGCCGAGGTGGAGGTGAGTATCGCGTCGGTTGCTGCAGTTGTTTGGAAGATGATACGCAGTCAGTGATAATGCTGAAGAAATGCAAGTCGGTTTTTAGGAATTTCATCTTACTCCTACCATTGTAGCTTGACCTTGAAATCCAGTACTTAGAAATTTGATATTACTTTTAACACCTCAGTCATAAATTAGAGCCTTTGAAAATGTCAACCTGAAAATCGCATTCCCGCCTTTCAGCTCGTCACTCTGCGCGAAAACTGCAAGGAGCTGAACGCAAAACTCAAACAGAAGGACGAGGAGGCCCGGCAGATGGTCCGCCTTGCCGAGGAAAACAGGTGAGGGCGAGGGAAGGTAGTTTCGTGTTTTGCGTGATGTGTTTGTGTGTGCGTGATAGAGTGGGTGAGTTAGAGTGAGAGATTATGTTAGAATGTATAAGAGGGAGTGAGTTGTTGGGTGAGTGAGTGGATGGGTAAGTGAGTGGATGGGTAAGTGAGTGGATGGGTAAGTGAGTGGATGGGTAAGTGAGTGGATGGGTGAGTGAGTGGATGGGTGAGTGAGTGGATGGGTGAGTGAGTGGATGGGTAAGTGAGTGGATGGGTGAGTCAGCGGATGGGTGAGTCAGCGGATGGGTGAGTCAGTGGATGGATGAGTCAGTGGATGGATGAGTGAGTGGATGGATGAGTGAGCGAGTATGTGTGTGTGTGTGTGTGTGTGTGTATGTGTGTATATGTGTGTGTGTGTGTGTGTGTGTGTGTGTGTGTGTGTGTGTGTGTGTGTGTGTGTGTGTGTGTGTGTGTGTGTGTGTGTGTGTGTGTGTGTGTGTGTGATTTCGTGAGAGTGAGTGAGTGAGTGAGTGAGTGAGTGAGTGAGTGAGTGAGTGAGTGAGTGAGTGAGTGTGAGAGTGTGAGAGTGTGAGAGTGTGAGAGTGTGAGAGTGTGAGAGTGTGAGAGTGTGAGAGTGTGAGAGAGTGAGAGAGTGAGAGAGTGAGAGAGTGAGAGAGTGAGAGAGTGAGAGAGAGTGAAAGAGTGAAAGAGTGAAAGAGTGAAAGAGTGAAAGAGTGAAAGAGTGAAAGAGTGAAAGAGTGAAAGAGTGAAAGAGTGAAGAGTGAAGAGAGAGAGAGAGAGAGAGAGAGAGAGAGAGAGAGAGAGAGAGAGAGAGAGAGAGAGAGAGAGAGAGAGAGAGAGAGAGAGAGAGAGAGAGATAAAGATTGAAAACGAAAGATAGGTAGAATGGTACTTTTATTTTCCAGTATACACTCCATCTATTTGTATATTTTTGGTACGGACAGCATAAATCTTTTCCTTATAATTTACCTATGCCTAAATAATGTATACATATGTACATAGGAGCACTATTTTAAGGTAATTAGCATGGAATTAAAGACATAATTTTCCTTCCAAGGAGAGAAAAACAAAGAAAGATGCAACACATGCGTGATTATGCATATCCTATTCTACATAACAAAAGCTAACAAAATTTCAGTTGCAACTATTATGGATATTTGCCAGATGTGTAATAGTTTTCAATAGTAATCAATTGAATGTCATGTTAATCTTGAAAAAAAATATATACAATGAGCATTTTCATTGTTAACTCTCCTGTGTTTTAATTCAGTTATCAGAAAAAAGTAGGTCTTTTACATCGTAGCTACAAATGCAAGTCAGTGGATCAGTTATGGTTGCATGAATCATTCATGTTATTGATTCCTCAGCTGGACACTATCCATGGCAATGCAGTTGGGTGTGGACCATCTTCCTGTGAGGTTTGAAGGTGGAATCTGTGTACCTTGCATACATTTTATACTTTCATTGTACATGTTCAGATGTAGAAGTTATCGTCAGAATCAAATGCAAATATGAGTATTTGCACTGCGATCAAAACATAGCCCATACCACCAAACAAAAGAAAAGGAAGGATACCACTAATAAGAAGGTTACTTGAGTAATACAGTCTCCTGCTTTTTAACCCATTGGATCTGGGTGCCTCGCTGCCTGCATGTTGCCCAAAATCAGAGCATTAGGCTTACTTGAGTGACAGCTCTCTATAGTGTGTGGCTGGTAGGCCCCCCAGATCAACACTAGTGTGGAATGTTCCTTAGCTCTCCCTTTACAATGTTATCTCATTTTCTGCCTAAGCATTTTTTTTTTTTTTTTTTCTGAATTTTCCAAGGCCTGTATTTGTCATTTGATATACAGTATCAAGATGGTGATAGAATATTTGCCTTGCACAAAACTGCATATCATCCCTCTATGTAGTCTACAGGTTTGTGCAAGAACAATAAGTAAAAATCTGTTATTTGCATCATTTTTAAGTATATTTGTATTGTTCAGTTTTCTGCAATGCTTCCTGAGCCATCAGTCATGGTAGGCGGGAGTAGCATACTGAGAATGGAAATTGTGTCCTCCCTTGAGCTTGTGCTCTTCCAGCCATGGCTCATAGATGTCTAATCTTCCTTCCAAAAACTTTGTGTACTCATGGCGAGTCATTCCTCTCACCCCATCCTTCAGCCCAATTTTTCATGATGGAACATTTCCTTCAGCCTTCCATGATAGCTTATTCCCATCATTTTGACCCTCAACCAAATTTATTCATGACGTAATGGTCTCATCACCTGGATCCAGTGGGTTAAGTAAATGCATCAAGAAATGCTAAATATCAGTGTGGCTTAAAGAGATTATTACTTTTCAGGAATAAATTTATGGTTCTGCAGTCAGAGATGAATTCCATGCAATCAAGAGCAAGGGACATGATGGTGTGCCAAGGAGCTGAAGTGTCCAGTGCTGCAGTTTCTCTGGCTAACCTCTCCATGCGGCTCCAGACTCTCATCGGCAAGCTTGTGCAGGATTATTCTATCACAGATTCTGACATAGAGGTTAGTTATATATACAATCCTTTCTTTATAAGGATCTATAAATGCATTACTAAGTTCTGTAGATTAATTGTAAAAAGAAAGAATGAAAGAAAGAAAGAAGAAATTGGTCATTAGATGCAAGTGAAAGGTATTGCTCTAGTATTGTGGTCATTCCACCATTGAATTAGTGCTAGGATTCAGAAATGAAAATTGGATTTTGACTCTTTGTTGCTGAATAAATGTATTTTGGCTATAGTTTTCTTTTGTGAATTTTATTTGCACTAGTATGGCTCCACAAGTTCTCAGCTACCAAGGAGCTAATTAGTATGTCTACTAGACCTCACTCGCTTACCCATTATCTTGAGATTTCTTTTTTTTTTCCAAATGTTATTATTAATAAAAAATAATAAAGAAAAGCTTTCCAAAAATCAAGGTAAAAGGTAAACAGGCAGGTTAGGTAGGACTAGAAATTGACTCTGTGGCAGTTAAGTACTTCTGGAGCCATCCATATGTAAAACCAATTAGTAAACCACAGTAGACATGGCTTTTCTTTGTCATCCTGGGATCATTAGGTTGAATTATGCTCTAAAGAGAAAGGAAGATTAATAGTGATTCTAGAGGGTTTTACTTTAGGAAATATGAACTGAAACAACATCCAGTTCTAGAGATCAAAGTTAATTTTGAAATAAAGCCTGTATGTTGTAATCAGTTGGGGAAAAGAAATGATAATTTTCAGCAGACTTCCTACAGCATGCTTTACCCATACCCTTATTTTAGAATTTTGCCATATTATTAACTCATTGTCCTCATTGTTGGTTACTGCCTTTTTATTTTATTATTATTCTTTTAATATCAAAATTCTATTATAGGAAATGCATGTGACAGGAAGCTGTTCTTCACACTATAGCATAGGTTGTTGATTTTAAATTTATTTTGAATTTGACAGATGATTGTCACTCCAACTGAATCAGACAGCAGTGCCTCTTCAACCAATGGTACACCCGAGCGCAAATCTCCGTACAAGGTGTCTGCACGAACACCTTCCCCACGGAAGACTGCATCATTTATAACAGCTCTGCTGAATGCTATGCGGGGATCACCAAGATGCAAGATGAACCCAGTAGGTGCTACCAATGGGAATAAGCAGGTAGATTCATAGAAAGTTGCTTTTAGTCTTGTGAAGTTATTTTTGGCTCATGTAGATGCAAGTGTATCTCTCTCTGTCTGTCCATCTGTCTCTGTCTGTCTATCTGTCTCTTTCTCTATCTGTCCGATTGTTTGTCTGTCTCTTTGTGTGTCTCTCTCCCTCTCCCTCCCCCTCCCCCTCTCCCTCTCCCTCTCCCTCTCCCTCTCCCTCTCCCTCTCCCTCTCCCTCTCTCTCTCTCTCTCTCTCTCTCCCTCTCCCTCCCTCTCTCCCTCTCCCTCTCCCTCCCCCTCCCTCCATCCCCCTCCCCCTCCCCCTCCCTCTCCTCTCTTGACTTTATGAATAATGGTACCATTGTCATATTTACTGTTATCATTATTATTATTTTATTCTTTGTTGATAATATCATTATCATTATAATTGTTTTTTTATATTGTTGATATCATCATCATCATCACTATTATTATTATTAGTTATGTCATTATTATTTACATTTTACATTACTTTTTTTATCAGTTCATTCATTCATTTATGTATAATATTTTCCCCATTTTAATTTGTTAATGCAAAGGTTTCTTCACACCTCTCTCTGATTCCCCAGGAGACTGAGGGCCGCAATTCCCCAGAGGGTTCGGAGAGCCATGACTTGGTGGAGCATGACGGCAGCAACAGCTCAGCCAGCAGCAACGTCTCCCTCGCAGACCAAGTGACTGACGTTGATGTCCTCCTTACGCGCTTCCTCAAGGTCTGCTGTGTCTTGAAGAACGACACGGACAACCGCCTCACCGAAATCGAGGAGGAGAAGTAATACTGGAGGGGTGGGATTTAGGCCACTCTAAATCATCTTTGAAGTCAGATAGAAATGATGGCTTTGCTTGAATATTACGTGCTCTATTTTCTTGTGTTTTCCATTTAGTCCTTTTCTTTCATGTGTTTTACCTAGTTATTATTATTATTATTGTTATTTTTTGAAGGAGGGATATATTTGAATGTTCTTTCTTTTCATTTTCCCTTTTGTTTCTTAAAAACTGATATATCACTGTTTTTACTTTTGACAACTGAATGTGGTATCAATGAAGGATTTCGCTTGCATTCTTTGACACAGTTGATTTAAAGATTTTTTCATATATTTATAGAAAGGATATATACATACACTGTTCCTGTTTTTTAAGGTATATGAATTAGATATGGTGTTAACTATGTTGTAAATTTCCTTTGATTAATATATCACTACTAGAGTTTTGCATTTAATTTGTGTGTGTGTTTTATCTGTTCCAGTGAACGCCTGTGCAATCAGATTCGATCTCAACAGCAAGTTATTGATCAACAACACTCAGACTATGAAAACCTTAACCGCTCAGAAGCTCGTGCTAAGCGTGAGCTGATGGTTGTTTCACGTGATTTGGAGGTAGCCAATCAGAAATTAAACGAGTTTTATAATGCTGATTACGAATCACAGGTTAAGGTAAGGAAATAAGATGTTTCTAACTTTTCTCATGACTAGGAATAGGAAAGTGATATGCTGCAAATGACTTTTAAAAAGCAATAATTTGAATCTTAAGAAGTCAGTTGGGTTGGATGTTTGTAAATACATATACAGTTACAAAGGATACAGGCTTAAGAGGCATTTTTTGCTCTCAGCCAACACTGTGGGCAAAAGTAAGTAGTAGCTGCTCACTAGATTGTAGAACACTGAGGAGACCGATGGTCTTAGGCCTCGATTCGAGCATTACATATAGCTGAGTTTACACTCCTGCTTTAAAGTGGCTTTAAAAATAGTTAATAATTTGTCTCCATAATGGTTTGTAAAACTGGAAAGGACAGTGTGAGTAATATATGATGAAAAGATTCTCTTTTGTAGTCTAGTGTACATCATGGTTCATTTTTTATTTTTCTCACATCTGATCCTATGCATTGCACTGTGCAAACTCTGTGTATTAAATTTGTAGCATTAGTTAACATGTGTGTATTTCAGATGCACATTTAATATGTAGAGAACTTTGCACATGCACTTAAAGTTGTCTCTTTACAAAATATCCTGTTAGAATTCAGATTCACTCATTTCTGGCCAGAGTGTGTGGGGACTTCTAGATATTTCATTAATTAGTCATTACAATGGCAGCTCACAAGCTCTCTTTTTCAAACAAATATGAATGATGATTTCTGCTGAATGGCATAAAGACCATTTTTCCCACTAAACAGAAACTGGAATTGGAGGTTGAACGCTTAGGCACGACTGTCCGCCACCTGGAAGCCCTGCACAATGAGAAGGAGAAGCAACTAGCCGAGTCACTGGCTTCCCTGTCAACTGCTCAGGGGCCGGCTCCACCCAACCATGTCTCAGAGGCAACCCACTTCCAGGAAGTTGCAACACTTAATGATAAGGTAATTGCTTTCCTAGTTGGTAGAATTACTTGAAGGTAATGCTTGACCGTTAAAGAAAAAGAAAGTTTGGTAATCAGTTAGAGGTATTTTATAGAATTGACAAAATTTGCCCCTTTGCAGTATTATAAAAAAAACACATTGTAGTATCAATCAAACAAGGCTATGCATATTATATGTAAATTTTCATTGAATTTAGTAGAAAAAGATATGAAGAAGCAGTGTTTGGAGATACAGGAGTCTTAAGATTTTCACTCCCTTCTGTATACCTAAATCTTAAGTAAATGATACATTTGACTCTGTTATATTTAAGTTGGATATTCCTAAACTGTTGAATAATATTTAGTGATTTATATTTTTTTTCCAACATTTATTAACTGACAGTGAACTTGCAATTTTTGGCAGTTGTTTATACTTGTTTTCTTCCTACACAAATATGTCATTCATTGACATGGTTTTACTCAGCTTCATTTTCTAGGCAGCTAAACTATTCAGAAAGGGTTAGAGGGGTCCAAGTCAAGGCTTTAAATAGTTTGATGTTTTCTGAGTGAATGAGAAGTAACACAGTGGATACTTTCCATTGAAAGGTGGCATCGCTACGTCAGAGTGTCATTGAGCGAGACCGACGCATCAGTGAGCTGAGTGAGAGGCACTCCCAGGACTTGGCAGCCTTACGAGAGGCTCAGGTTGAAGCGCAGCGGAGCAACAGGCGCTTCACTACCACAGTTGACCATGTACTGAGGGTAAGTAATTTCACTTGTGTTAAGAGAGGTTTTGCAAAATGTTTCTTGTTCTTATTGTATTGCGAAGTGATTCTTATTCTTATTTGAATACTTCTTGTTAGAATCTACATATTTTTTAAAATTAAATTCATGCCCATGCTTGTTTATGATGAGAGAAGCACATATATATATTTTTTCTTCTTCTTCTTTTTTGGCTGAAAGTTATTGTTTTTTTTATTATAATTATTTTTATTTTGTGTGGTCAGTTGTGATGCAGTTTGAGTAACAACCAAGAGGCAAACAGCCAGTTGTGTCAGTAGTTAACATATAATAATGGACAGTCAGCTATATGATTTATTTACTTATTTATTTATTTTTTTAGCCAAAGATGTTAAACATTGAGATAATTTTATAACATGATATCAATATTGTTATGTATGCTTTAAAAACAATCCCTAACAAATACACGCAAGGTAACACACATTCTTTTCATGAATCACAACACAAACACAGCCACGCAACTCACAGTTGAAATCTGTGCCAAAATCAGTACGA